ACAAACTTATTTTTATTAAAAAAAAAAAAAAAAAAAAAAATACAGATTGTTTACGTATTTAAGTTATGAGTAATTTTGAAACATTATTTTTAAACTATGATTTAGAACAATTAGAACTACTGAATTATAATATGAAAATGTCCTATATCAATATACAACATTGATCATATATAAGGTATACATAAACAGACTACAGAAACACATATAAATTAATATATTTATTTGTGACGTAGGGTGGTCGAAAGGGTTATACCCTTAAAATTAACTAATAATAATTATTACAAACGCAATTTATGTATAATATAACATATTATTATAATGTTGTAATTGAGGTTGGAAAAAAAACAAACGTTTTATTCGTTTTAAATGTTGTTTTTGTAATGTTTTAAACAATTTTAAAAAATTGTTTTAAATAATAACTATGTTTTGTTTCAAGTATAATATATAGGTTAATTATAAAGTAATATTATTCTCATATTATTTCCACCATAGTTGCATATACCGTGATCCATAAACAAAAGTTATAACTCATAAAACAAATTACAATACAGTTTTATATTTTTTTTAACGTTTATATATGAAATTTAAAAAAAAAACCACTCGTTTAAAACACATTCCAACTGTGATTATAATTTATTTAGTATTTATCACTTCATCCATTGACACCACAATGTATTATAACAGCAAAATCCGTCAATAATTTATAATGCTATAATAAATTGTCTTTGTTGTAATAGCTACTATAAGTATGTTAGATAATTATTATATTCTGTTTATCATAATATTATATTCTGTAGCTTAATTATTTAACATTGACAACCTTTTCTTGTTGTTGAGCTGTATATAATAGTTTATAGGTGATACATAATGGAATTATTGACTTAGGTACGAAATGTTTTATAATTATTTTTTTTATCGTTTTAACAATACGTCAATAATAGCTAACTTAAAGATTCAGCATCGATTTTTCACTTATTATACATAACTTGCAATTTTTGGGTAGTCATGAACAATCAAGTGAAAAAATCCATGAGCCACATAATATACATAATGTAGCCAACATTTATTTTGCATAGGTAATTATGACATTTAACGATTTTAACGATATAAGGTATATGAAAATTTAATGTTATACCACTGAGTACCACTCTATAGCAGTATGCTTACTTTTGTATATGCGATAATAAATCTAGAATGGAAAGTATTAAATAATAGTTATAACTTATAAGCATATTCAATTATTAACATACTCGTATGTTATATATTTTATACATTTTTTAAATATAGGATTAGACTAATTCAAAAATACATAGCCTGATGTAAGCTGTAATGTTTTATTTTAATACGTAAACATCTATGTAATTACTATTTCTTTTTAACTGCGTTTTAATATATGGTACAATATGATAATATTATGGTTTAAAATTTTTCAAAAATTAAAATACTATTTCAAAAAATGTAAAATGTTACATAAAAATTATATACTAAAAATAAGATTATATATTGTATTTTTTTTTTTTTTCATTTTCAGTAAGTTATTTTTGAAAATGGAAATTTATTTTATAAGTCTGTTAAATTATTATTTTTCATGTTCAGCGCTTTATTTTAGTGTGGATGATTTAAAGAGCTTGTATCGTATTACATATTAAGGACAAATACAAACACATATTTTACAGTCACTCTTTTCAAACATTGATAATATAGGTAAATATCCATGCGATTTTTTATATTAAATCAAAACCTATGGGATGATTTACTATTTATGAGTCTTGTTGGCTGCTAACATATCAAGACGACGAAGGGTGACGGGTGAAAAAAACAATTTCTTTCGACGCTCCGGGAAAGTAATTGAATATTCCTTGGTTCTTGGTGGTGGAAAATAACTGAGGAATTTTGTCGTATAGCGCTATATACACTTGAATGCTCTTGTAGGGGGAAACTCCACTCTTCCGAATATCTTATCCACTAACAAAATATTTTTCAATTAGACAAATGAGAAAAAACAGTACACCGGTATTCGAACGATCCCGGTACGAATTTTCTTTTTGTATTATTATTTTCTATTTTTCTATTGACTGACTTGTTAAATATATTTTTATTAGAATTTTATAGAGAAGTTAAATAATATTCATATGAAAAAAAAAATGAATTCTTAGTTATCCGTGTGCTTTTCTTACAAAAACAAGTGTTCGTCTTAAAAGTTATATTCATTCTTTTTTTATTAAGATTATATTTGATGATTTTAATACATCTAAAACAGAATATATTGTATACCTACTAATATTTTATCAAATGTAAATACATTTTATATCAAAATAAACTATTATTATTATTACTTACTATTATTATTAAATATTAATTTCAAACCATAATTATTGACAGTGATGGGATTTTTCAATATTTTTATTTTTATCTATTGGTCAATAGGTATTATAATTATTTATTAATACATTTAAATGTATTATGGTTATATTATGTTTACAGGTGCATCATTATCATATATTTTGAATGTAAGCGTAATAATACTATAATACTATTATATAAAATATTTTTTCCATTATCATTGTTATAGACTGCATTAAAATATGAAGAAAAATATTTCTGGAAATTTAACTTAACCTTACTGTCAGTCAAAAGATGTCAAAATATCTCAGAATAATATATTAATTATCAGTTGAGGTGGGCATAAAAATTATAAAGATTAGGTATTGAAATACTAAGAACTAGCTGTAAATCGTCTTGGCCGTTGTATTTATTTTCAAAAATAGTAAAATTATTTGTGTATTTCAATATTTATGATCTGATTTAACCATTACATAAATAATGTACATCCGTTTGAAATACGTATCAACGTACTAATAATGTGTACTATACTTGCTTACATGATTATATGGGCAATATCACTATGTACACTAATCGTTTGAAATGTATACTGTATACAGTATATGCTAACGCATTTGTATAAAATATTCACTAATCTTGGATAATGTTAATATGCCGCAAATATATTACTATAGTTTCATGCGTATAAATTGGTTTTAAGACAAATCCGGTATATAACACTTGTCATTTATCATAGAAAATTTCGTCATAATAATGTTAATCTATAGTGTTTTAGTACTAAAAATAATTACTTAAGACATGCTACATATTCTATTGTATGAAGTGGAGGTACTTCTATACCATTATTATGTAATCGTGATCTTGTTATAATTCAACCTAATCTTCTGGCGTGGAATAAGTGTGCAACATAATTTTGGATTAAATCTTTGGTATTTGTTGCGACTTTATGATAATAATATACAGTGTTAATCTAACGTTTTTATCCGTGCCGTATTTATTGTTTATGGTTTACTTACTCATCATAGACATCCCATGCAGGTTAAGTTTTATTTGAGTAATCGAGTTTATAGTTCTAATTACTTTTTAGAATTTAATATTAATTTAATTGTCTGCAAACAATAAATAATTTAATATAAACTTATAATTGAATTTGGGCTTCCGTTAGACGAGTATGTAGAACTATTAACACAGTATGTGATGACTACTATAATTTACAAGTAAAACCACTTAATACCGAAGAAACTTGATCAGTTCTTGATTAGTTAATCCATTGTCATATTGAAATATTTATCTAAATATAACTTGTTTTTATAGCTAATGATGAAATGTTATTGTCTCAATACAAATTTCACACATACTGTACAATATATTTTGCACATCTAATAAGTAGGTATCTACTACTAATATATTATATCATACTTTGAGTGTCGTAGTGAAACGGTTAAATACAGAATAGAGGATTAGATATTAAACGGTTTCTCTGTTCTAATTACAATAAGTCTAAAACACTGAACCGTATATGTTGAGGGTGGCGTAAGTATGTATATTCAATATTTATACAGCTGCTGTTACTACAAAAGTCGGTGGTGACGATTGAACGAGCTTCCTGGCGATCGGTATAGGTGGCAAAAGGCATCGACAAATTGCGTGTCGCAGAGCACATGTTATTGTTAACCAACTACGGTGGTAGCCAAGTCCATTTGTAATTTTTCCACCGGAAGAGCTTTAGCCACACACTACAAATGACCGGTGAAAATTGTTCCGTTGAAAGGAAAATATATATATATATATATATATATATATATAAATCGTGTATACGTCGTTTTCCTAGACCGTCTGCTGCAGGGTCGGCACTATACCACTGCCAGTTGATTAGGTTCATTGGTCCACGATCGCGCAACAATGATTTTCCATTCGAATGGTACACGAATGTTGTCGAGTATATAATATATAGAGAGATAGAGAGAAATAATGACAACAGAATATTGTTAAAATCATGGTAATACCACGGGTGTGGTGGTCGGCGATATAAACTTATGGCTATAAAAGATAGGTATAACGGTATTCGTTTTCATCGCCGTCGTCATTTTCGTTGTCGTCATCTTCGCTGTAGTTGCTGTGGGGAAGTACAGTGTTGAGGTTGATAACATGGTAGAATATAATGTTGGTGGTGATGATAGCGGGGAAGTTGGCTTTGTGAAATTAATATATACATAATAGCTCCGGTCCAAGATATGGCCGGAAAGGGAAGCCGCATGGACACACAATAGTTGAACAATTGTCGTGTCTACGGAGGTTTTCCAAATCCTTCCTCCCACACACACAATCCTCTTGCCGACATCCACTAGTCCTCTAACTCTACTGGTCGTACTACCAACCATTGACACTTGGGTCCGTATCATTGATTTCCGCCGGTTTTTGGTGTTGTCGGACGATGATAATAGGAGAGACTCGCGTGATTTAATATTTACGACTGACCGCGTCATCATTTGCCGTTTACACGCGTCGTTGTAATATATCGTCGTCCCAAAATAATTACACTATATTATAATAGGTATACCTATAATAATAATAATAATAATAGTAATGATAATATTGCATTTAATAATGACATCACGATCTAATTGATTAATGGTGTTCGTGTTATTTTGTTTCAGTGCCGCCCGAACATCCGGTGGTGTTCGATAGGTTTGGAAGGCCATTGAACATGACGGTCGGTCCACTTGACGAGGGTGACGGCATTGCGCTCATTTGTCGCGTCATGGGTGGTAAGTGATTTTTCTTCTCATCTGTTTTCCTTAAAAAATCGTGTTTGACGATTACAATATTAAAATATTTTAATGCATTTTAAATACTAAATGGTTTATAAACTCTGTAAGCAAATGTTACGTATTGTATTATTATTTTTCATACCTAATGTTATACTCGTATTTCGGGTCTACCAAAGATAGTCAGAAACATTATCACCACTGAATATTATGATGGTATATTATATAATAATAATAAAATCACTGATCTATAAGAATCATCGCATAAATTCAAAACAGTATGGATATATTATTTCGGATGAGTGCCTATTTTAAGTTTTTTATATTGCTTAAAATATGTATTTAAATTGTCGTTAAATAATCATAGCATAAACTTAGAAAATGCATTTTTCATACTTAGAAAATAATACCTGAGTAATTTGAATTTTTCGACTATATTTCAATTATCACTAAAAATATAAGTATTAGCCTATTTGTTAAAAAGTAATGAGTCCAATTCGTAGCTAAAAATATTAGTTTAAGATTACTAACAAAGTATAGTTCAAAATGAGAAACATCAAATTGATAACTGTTTCTATCCAATTCCTATTAGTTAACTTATTCATTGCGCTTTTGGCTAACAATACTTTTGCCTTCTGTGTAACCACCAAGCACGTTATGAAATTGTACTCCTATCATATATTATCTCTGATTATAATTTTGCTGATGTTCATATTATTCTATATTATGGTAAGAAAAAAAAAACAGCATGTATATAAAAAATGCATACGTTTTAAAAATACGTAATAATTATTTTTTCTGAATCGTTTATGTAAATATTGTACTTATTACAAATCGTATTCATGTACACGATATTCATAATAAATGTTTTAAAATTTTTCTATGACAAAATGTTATAAAAAGGTATCGTGGATTGGTTTTTGGACCATGTCCCTTACCCCTACGTCTACCGCAGTATCCCTATCCTATACATCATAGAATACACATAAATCAACAAACATGGTTATTTGAAATTTGCGGAGGTGAGTTATACGACTCTCAATACAACTATTTATAAAACTAAACTTAAAGCTGTTCGCCAACAATTAGGAACTTATGGAAGTTAACAACCAAACAACTATATCTATAATTAGTACCTATGGTTACGCTCAATTACTATTTACATTCACTGAATATTCAACACTATAAAATATACAACTGCACTAATAATTATAATGAAATAATTCATTAGATATTTACTTGTTTATTATATTATAGTTTCTGATCATTGAAAATATTGACGTTGAGTATTATTTACTATAATTAATTCATCTATGTAATTGATTTTACCTCAGATTTTCAGATTTTTAAGAATTAAAAACGTATTATTTAGTATATTATCTATATTAATTAGTAATGAGTGAGAGCTTAATTAATAATAATTACTATTATTAAAATAGCACAACTCTAATTTTATGAAATAATTGACATAGTTATAAGTAATAACTAAATCAGCAAAATGTATGTATTCAGTAGTTTAGGTATATTAATTTATATTATAATTAATAATAATATTATGGTTACAGTTTATAATTTTGGCTGAATCACTCCGTTATCCCATAATTATTTTGTATTTGATAATTCACATATATAAACGTGAATTAAACTTAAATTTTATACTTACCCTTTGATCTAAATAAGAAAATTGAAAATCAGATAAAAAAAAATAAAAATATTTTTCATAACTGACATTTAAGAAAATTATGATCAGTATTCAGTAATTAACGTTTAGATCATGTATATTATAATATTTTTAAAGAAATAATAAAAATCTTTTTAAATGCATATACATTTTGACGAGTAAAACAAATTTTAAATACTTTAATCTAAATAATCAAATAATGATGATCACTAGATATTTAATTTTTTTTTTTTATTATTGATTTTTTTTCTTAAAAATTGATTATATTATGATACTAATGTAACAATATAAAATCACATAAACCATATTATGCTAAAGTTTTAAATAACCGTCCTTGTGTATGGTTTTATCATTTAAACTAATAAAATATGGTCAATAATTTATTACAAAAATAAATTATACAATACCTTAAATAATATTATACACAAAAACAAAAGTTTCATTGCCTATTTTGTATGTTTGAAACCTAATAAAGTAATAAATATAATTAAAACTATGGGTAATGTTTAATATAAACGTCATAGTATGTATAGTTTATAGGTGTTTCGTTATATACTGGTACCTATATAGAGAAAATAATAATATTAATTGAATATCGCTACAATATTCACGTGTACACGTTATGTATTACATATATTTATGATATTATTGTTTCAGAGTAATTTATTAATTTTAATTATATCAAGGTTATTAGAATTGATTTATAATTATAAATGATTTGTATTTATTTAAATTTATACAACGGTGCAGGTTAGGTAAGTGGTTGAGTTATATTATAGGTTAGTATTATTATGTTTTTGTCCTTCTTATTTTATTTCTTATTAGGTTTTATTATACGAAAAGTTTGAGACCTCCACCCATCCAAGTGATCGATTAGACGTATACGGTAAAAGTAGGTTTATTTTTAGTCTTTTTTTTATTATTCCTGGTTCACAGACGTTTACCGAAAGATTAATGTAATGTAAAAACCTAGTGTAAAGTTTGTTGTGTTCTGTTGTAATGAAAAATCAAGAGCTCGTGTGTGCTCTTCCAAAATACGTTGCCGCTTCTTCGTGAAAATAAAAAGTAAATCCAATTATAATAAATCGATACTCGGCTCTTTGTTTTTTCCTTTCATTTTTTTTTCTCTTGACAGATAAACTATACTACAATATATCGTAGATTATAACTTCAGTGCTTTCATATTATGAGTTATTTTTAATGTTTTCAAGTTAATATGCATCCTTAATAGCATCAAAGCTCTGATATAGATCTAATCATTACAAATATATGTTAAGAAAAAAGACAAAACTGTATTGATTTACTATCTAAAAAAATATTCGATGAAGAAGAAGTAAATGAGATTAGAGTATCTTAACTCAGATTTTTCATTGAAATATTTTTTTTTTTTTAAATGAAATAACTGATTTCAAAACATTGTTCACATCGGTAACTGTTGTATTATCAGTATTACAATTAAATATTTCTTATTTCCGTGGACAATGTTATGATGGAGCCACAAATGTTAGTGGTTACAATAGTGGACTTCAAAAGATAATAAATATAATTGAACATCAGCATTTTTATGTACATTGTATACTGCACATACATTAAATTATGTAGTTTTTATCGTATTTTTAAGCAACAAAATGTTGTTAAAACAAGTGGTTTTTTAAACAAATAATAAAATTAGATTTTTTATTTCTATTAAATATCATGATAGTATTTTTGACAGAATAGAAATTCTTAATTCAGAATTACAAAATATTTTATTATGCTTTCAAGAAACTCAACACATTATTAATTATGCCATAAAGCCTATTCAAGAACAACGAAATTTTTACTTTGATTATATCTGGAATGAATCGATTTTGATATCAAATGAGCTTAATTTGAAAGAGCACAACGCGCTAAAAGTAAAAAAAAAATATCAAAACGTTACATAGAATGAATCGAATCGTACATTTTTCCAACTATCAAAGATCAATATAGGACTTTATTTTATGGTGTTAATGTTTCATTATTTTCATTGAAAGAACAATTTAAAAAATATGTTATTGAACATCTTTCAAAAAATGTTTAATTGGTAAAAACACAGCTACAAATATTATTGATTTTTATAGATCCAATTTTGTCAATTTTGATAAAAATAAACTATAATTACATAGAGATGTGTTCTAAATATAGTTGAGTCTAGAAAAGTTCCTGTTAATAAATCTCAAGATGTTATTAAAATTTAAAAAAAAATGATAAACTATTTCATGACCTATTATCGAAATTAAATAAACTGGCAATAATTATATTAATTATTCCTGGGGATTATAAACTCCGCCAGAATACAGGTAAAGATAAAAAGGTAATAAAAGGTCTAATGTAAACTTCGCCAGCTTTTTTTTCTTACCTGTAATGGGTATATGTAAACTCCGCCAGTTTTTTTTTTGTTTAGCTATTCTGTTGCCTAGTGCATTTTAAAATTAAAATACGTTAACATCTATTGCGATGATATATACTAATTGAGTAATACAATACTTAAAATATTTACAAATTGTATCACATAATTTAGTTTACATACATGATATAACTATATACTTTTGCATTATTAGGTATAACAATTATTTATTATGATATTTTTACTATGATTTAAATATTTAATGTGAACGATATGATATGATATTATATTAATTTTATACTACTATTTGATTTTCTTCACTGGTGGAGTTTACATGAACCCAATTTTACCTGTTTTTTTTTTTCTAGTGGAGTTTATATTTGCCCATTATTCCAGTATCTTCTGGTACAGCTAAAAGGTATTAGAAGACTTAAAATATTTTTAAGAATCGATTTTTATAAGAAATTATATTTACACGAAAATTCCATATAATTATCCATTGTAAAAAAAAATAAGGGGCGAAAGTTAGACATTTGGTCAAAAATAGTTCACTTCCTGCGTTCCCCTGCTCTTTAACCACATATTAAAATTATTTTGAAAGGAAAAAGTAGTAGGTTTGGCCCCAAAAAACATTTACAAAATCTGGCGCCTATGCCTACACATTTATATATATTTTTGTGTATAATAATTTTATATATACGGATATATAGAATGCATAAATTAAAAATAATTTAAATAATAGCTGTAAATTAAAATGGAAACTATGACTTACAAAATATTTTTTTTGGATTCTTATTTGTAATTTATCATTCAAAATCATCACTGAAATGATAAATGACTAAGATTTAGTAACAGGTATAGTTTAAAGTATAAACTCAATATTTCATAAAAAAGTTTAAGAATATACTAATTTATATTCTTTACAATTATTATTAATACAATTTTTTTTTC